GTGGGGACAGGGTGTCAATTTAGAGAATTGTTTAGTTTGTGAGGTTTTGCTGGAATTTGTTCTTTTTCCTATTTGTGATCAAACAAGATGGGAGGACAGGCTTTAAGGGGAGGTAGGACAGGATGGATGATGCAAAATACCATTCCACAGGCAGGTTGCATTCTGAGAGTTGAATATTTCACACCTTGGACCATGCCATGCTTTGAACAATGATAGTAATAGCAGCACTGTATATACATGGAGCTTAAACTGAATAAATTTGAGGTAGGGATTTAAGAACATACTTCTCAAATCAGAATTATTGAGCAAGTTAGTGCCTTCTGGCCAGGAAGCTGCTTAGTCTGGGCCACTCAGCCCAGGGGGTGGGGCTAAAGAGGAGAAGGGAAGAAGAGCAGCTGGCCCATGGCACCAGGAGCCTGAAGAACTCAGGGTATCCAGCTCCAGCTTTGCTGTGAAACTACAGGGTAATGAGCACAGCCTGGATAAGGTGCGGGGCCCATTGGCATCGCAGCTTAGCTATGCGTGCCTCTGGGCTGGTCAGTACTCCTCTCTTGGCCTCCCAGAACCAATACGGCTCACTCAGAAATGGAAAGTCTGAGGTCACTTAGTTCAGCTCCCTCATTTTACAGGTGAGAAAACAGGTACAGAAGAGTCAAGTGACATCTTAAGTGAGTACCAGAGCTTATGTGTCCTAACTCCTGGCCCAGTTTCTTGGATGTCTGTGACTGACTGACAGCTCTGCAGATGGAAAGGCATTTAAGGCTAGCTGGAAGAATGATAGATCCAGGCATATGGGAGAGGGTGGATGGGGCAGCTGGTGGGAAATAGAAAGGCTATAAAGAGCCAAAATACCCATTCCTGCTGGCCATGTCCCCAGGACAAGCATGACTCCAAATGTTCCTTAGGCATTAGTAGTCACACAAGAAAAACCACACATGGACTGACCAAGGCCATGAAATATCATTAGTGCCTAACGACCAAGCACCCCAAGTTTTAAGACTCTTAAAAATGTATTTATTTTAAAGAGGGAAGGGAAAGGAAAGGAAAGGAAAGGAAAGGAAAGGAAAGGAAAGGAAAGGAAAGGAAAGGAAAGGAAAGGAAAGGAAAGGAAAGGAAAGGAAAGGAAAGGAAAGGAAAGGAAAGGAAAGGAAAAAAGAGGAGAAGAGATCATACCCCAAATGCCCACAACAGTCAGGGCTAGGTCAATACTGAAGCAGGAAGCTAGGAACGCAATACAGGCAACTCATGCAAGTGGCAGAAACTCAATTATTTGAACTATCACCACTGCCTCCCATGTTCTGCATTAGCTCAAGTGCTAGAATCAGGAACCCAAGCACTCCAGTGCGGGACACTGACATGTTAACTACTAGGCTAAAATGCTTGCCCATAATCAGACTCTTAATCCAGCTTTGGTTTTAACCTCGCCCTTTCCGTTTAAGTTATTGGAGACCTTCCCTGCTATCCCTCACTGCTCATTCGGTTTGTGCCGACCCTTGTAGCCAGGGACAGCTGTAGTTTAGACTCTGCTCATTTCTCTCACTTCTAGTATAAAGGAAAATAAGAAAGATGATGGTGAACTTGGACAGTGTGACCTGCCTGGGTGGTTTGATATTCCAAAAATGGGCTTTTGGAAGAACAAAGAGCAAGTTCATGAGTCAACATTGTATTTATCCCTGTATTGTGAGGAACACTGCCTCTACCTCTTTTGTGAAACACAGTCATTTGTTTTAGTAAGACATTTCTCTGCCCACTGATAAGGAAACATAAAAGCATTTATTTTGCTAATCTCTAGAATGTGAAATGTAAGCTGTGGTCTTTTTTTCGTTTGTTTTTATTTTTCATCTGTGATCACAGGCTTAAGGGTTGAAGGGGACCTTGGAAGGCTGCCAGTCTTCCCACTCTTGAGCAGGAAGCCCCCTTCCAACATCCCTGCCAGTGGTTCAGACCCTCCCTCTGAATCCCCACAGTGAGTTGCTTCTACCTCTTTAGAAGCACTTATTCCATTTTGCTTTAAATTATAGTTATTTGAGGACTTGTCTTATGTCTCAGCTGTGAGCCCCTGAGGACAGGGGGTGGGTAGGCAGGATTCCTGTCTCCTTCCCCTTTGATCTTCCACAGCCCCCAACACAGAGCCTGGCCCATTCTCCATAAATATTTGAATGAGTGACAAGCTGTTAATATTTCCAGAGGCGGCTGCCGTGGGACATCTCTAATAACTAGAACATTCTTCCTAAAAGTAAGCAGGAATGTGCCTCCCCATGCTCCCTGGGTAGGAGGAAAAGTAAACAATTGGTGATGACAAAGAGCTAGGTATCCATAGGAGGTACCTGGGGCCAGGGTAATGCCCTGCTGCTGTTGCCTTTTTTGCATCTCAGAGCCTTTCTTCAGGACAGGAAAAGTCAATATCCTAGATAGATCTGAATAAATTGGGGATGGAGAAGCATGCAGATTGCAGGCTTTGTATCCAGTTTGGAATGACAGCTCTATCAGACATTGTCAATGTCCCACCAGTAACCCCTCAGCCTGCCCTGGGCATCATCTGCAGATGATTCCCATACAAAATGACAACTTTCTGTATCTCTGCCAGGCTCACTCTGGCCTCGGGAGTATTCTTAGCCTGTGTGTGGGTCAGGCTGGAAGTGCCAAGGAGCAATGAGATGTAATGCATAAGTAGCCCAGATTCCTCACTTCTCAGTAGGACAGCTTGAAGGTGTGTTTATATCTTAGAGTCTTCCAGAAGGTATCAGGAAGGATTGAACTCCAGTTGCTCATAGCACTAACCCATCTATCAACACATTCTTTATTTCCTCTCTTTCCTCTTTGATTTCCCTTCTCCCCACTCTGCTTCCTGGTAACATACCCAAATTAACTCTCTGTCTCAAATCCTTGTCTCAGGTCTGCTTTATAGAGAACCCAAATTAAGACAATGACATGAGCAATCAGTTGTGTGTGTGGGGGGGGAGGTCTCCATGTTATTCCCTTCAAAAGCAAAACTGTCAAAATATAGTACATGCTTTTCTTCCTCTTTCTATCTTCTTTTTCTCTAAGTTCAAAGTTGTGGGGGTTTTTTCTACCAGTTCTATAAATAGAGCTTAATTTTAAGCAGAATCTGAGTCCTAACTCAGAAAAAAGGGCTAGTAATGGTTCTGAAATCTTTGAAGGATAGTTGTTTCACATGACAGCGGTCAGTAACATTCTAGCTCTATTAAGGAAATGTACTTTGTCAGAAAGGTCTGGGGCCAGACTGAAAACAGAGATGATGCATGCAAGTCATTAGCCATCAGGATGGATTTGTGTTCAAGTACTTCACTTAACCTTTTAAACTTCCACAGAGACCTTTCAAATTAAGAGAGAACTTATCAGCTGGCCCAGGTTTGGGCTGGGAGTGCATGGAGGTTGGGCACAGCCAAGATGAATGGGACCATGAGGGAAACAGGAGAGGCAAATAAAGGACTTTCATTAAATCTATCTAGTATTAATGAGCTACACCTGAGCTAATAGAACCCAGGGAAATGCTGTTGCTGAAGGATATGTATTACCATTTGAGAAGGTTTCTAACAAAGAAAGATGATGTGTAAACGACCTGCCTCCTGAGTCCTTCAGGCAGACTCCATGTGATTCAGAAGACAACCCGTGGATGCCACAATATTACTTGATTGTTTTGACACCTGAGACAATTAATAGGAGGTAGCGGCTAAAAATAATCATCACTGCTGTATTATGTTTGTGGGGTTTGTCGTTTGTCTTGTTCCTTCCTGGAGGGATTTCTGCTGGGCTGGTAGGAAATAACATACATGTTCATGAATTTTTAATTGACAACCAAAGATGGGAATGAATGTAAACAACAGAAGATGAAAGGAGACAGGGGGGCCAAGCGAGCTCCCACAGATGCCTTCTGGGGTCAGGTGGGGAAATGTTCCTAAGTCAAGCAGAGATAAGAAGAGTTCCATTAAGACCTTATTTTTAGCACGGAGAAATGTAGTGGCTTCTAGTATTCTCTTTATTTAAGCCTGATGGATGGTCAGTGCCACAGTTCCTTTGGCATGGGGAAGATGGGTGGGAGGACAGAGGGACTTCTTCATTACATGACAGGAATGTGGAATTATTGTCTTCTTTGCCTTCTTTGGTGCACTTGCACCTGTTGTAGCGGCAGCAATGCCTAGCTCTTTGCTGAGCAAGACAGACATACTTGCCTCCTCTATCTTGTGCCCTAGTCTGAGCCATTGCTTCTTCAAAAACACACATGTATTTGAAAGGCAGAGTTACGGAGAAAGAGATCTTGCATCCTCTGGTTCACTCCCCAAATGGCTGCCCTGATCAGGGGTAGGCCAGGTCAAAGCCAGGAGCCACTAACTCCATTCAGGTCTCCTATGTGTGTGCAGGAGTCCAAGTACTTGGGCCAGGCACATTAGCTGGAAGCAGAGCAGTACTCTGATGTGGGATCCAGCATCACAAAGGGGAGCTTAACCTGCTGTGCCACATCCCTGGCTGGAGCTGTTGCTTCTAACAAGTGCTCTTGGGAGTAGTGCCATCCCCCTGGAATAACCTCTAAGATGCTTGTTAGGATGGTCCATGTAATGTGACTATATTAATGCACAACAATAGTTGGCACAAGGGGTGCGAGTCGTGGCACATTAGCTAAGACTCCACTTGAGACACCCATATTGGAGTGCCTGGGTTCAAGTTCTCTTTTCTGTTTCTGTTTCAGCTTCTTGCTAATGGATGCCCCAGGAGGCATCAGATGATGGTTCTCTCTTTTTCTTTCTCTCTGCCACTCTGTCTTTCAAATACATAAATAGTTGGTACAAAAATCTATGCTGGTTCCCACAATGCAAGCTCTCACTACTGTTCCTGTTATCTGTCATGATTTTGTGTTGCAGATAACAGACAGACTTCCTTTGGGCTGAGAGCAGATCCCAGCCCCCATCCCAAATATCTTGCCCAAAGTGAATTCCTTTTTAGCCTGCCACAGTAAGCAATCACTATCCTTTGCTTCCTAGAATGCCTATGTCAACATCAACCGTATAATGTCGGTGGCTTCCCGTCTCTCCGAGGCTGGCCATTACGCCTCTCAGCAAATCAAGCAGATCTCCACGCAGCTGGACCAGGAGTGGAAGAGCTTCGCTGCTGCCCTGGACGAACGCAGCACCATCCTTGCCATGTCCGCAGTGTTCCACCAGAAAGCCGAGCAGGTGAGCTCCAGCATGTGTTATAGCTGCCAGTGGTGGGAAAGCAAGGGGCTGCGGCCTCGTGGGAGCACACACTCTCTACGGAGAGCACCCGTTATGCTTTGAAAATACCAAAGACCATGCTGAGAAGCGGCAACAGTAACCCATGTTCCACCAGTTTCAGAGCCCCTGTGTACACAAAGGAACAGGCTTTGCTTGTAATGCAAAGAAGAGAGGACCCAGAACCTGTTTATATTCTGCTAGCTAGTGTATTGGTGGGTAGGTGTGTGCATGCTTAGTGTGCGTTCTGTGAGCAAAGACGAAAAGGGTGAGAATGAAGGGGTGGATAACTCGGAGAGCAGAGCAAGCAAATTTTACATGAAGCCCTTGCTATGGATAATAATATTGTGATAATACCACAAGTAGAGATGATGATCGCTTGTTGCCATTTACTAAGTGGCCAGGCATTGGTAAGTGACATTACCAACCCATTTTATAGAGAGGAGCATCGCATCTCAGAGAGATGGGTTAACCTGCCTAAGATCTCAAGGAGTGTTGCAGCCTGGCTTGGACTAGCTCATGGAGGGCTAGTTCTTAAATTTTCGGGAATTTTGTGAGCTGGTTGTCAAATATAATCATTACCTAAATATAATAATTACCTAAAACTCAACTATATACATTTATAATTAAATATGTTGTAGTAAAAACAAAAGTGGTATAGTTGGTTCTCTGCATCTGTTGGTTGTGCTTCCACAGATTCAGTCAACTGTGGATTGGAAATTTATTTTTTAAATCTGCTTCTATACAGAACATGCACAGACTTTTTCTTGTTATTCTCTCCACAACATAGTATAACTATAGCATTTATTTGGTTGTATTAGATATTATAGGTTATCTAGAGATAAATTAAAGTGTATGGGAAGGGTGGTGAATTTTCATATGGAGGTTCCATTTCAAGTGCAGGCTCAATTACCAACTGCTTTGCCTCAGATCCAGTTCCCTGCTAATGTGCTTAGGAGGCAGTGGATGATGGCCCAAGTGCTTCAACCCTTGCCACCCGTGTGGGAGACTTGAATGGAGTTTCTTGCTCCCAGCCTCAGTGTGGCCCAGCCCTGGCTGTTGTGACCCTTTAGGGAGTGAACCAGCAGATGGAAGATCTCTTACCACCTCCTCCCCTCCCCTGCCCCATCATTCTGCTGCCTTTCAAATAAATAAGTCTTTTAAAAAACTATAAAGCCTATGGGATGTACATAATTTATATGCAAATTACATCATTTTATATAAGGGACTTGAGAATCCACAGGGGATCCTGGAACCAAACCCTTTGAAAGGCAGAGAGACACCATACTCAAAAATCATTAATTCCTGACTATATTCCTGTATTTTATTATTATCTACATTCTTGAGATTATTTTTGCCTTTTTTAACATGGTGGGCATACTATACAATTGTGTGCTACTGATTATCTCTTCCCAACTCCTTATTTGGTGATGTCACATTGTAGCTTGAAATAGACCAAGATAGGAATTTTACTCAATGGAAATCATCAAATGCTATGAACGTTCAATTATTGTTTAATTGATTGTCTAAGTCTTAAGAAAATGAGAAAGAAAATGTAGACTAAACTTTAAAAAGAGTCATATCTGTACCTATTACATTGTAAAAAGCACATAACATTGAGGGAATGATATTGTAGTAATCAAAAGCTAGTATTTGATCCAGCAAAGAAGGCACTCACATTACTGATGAATAAATGATGTTCCAACATTAAGCCTTCAGGTGTTTTTCACTTTTATTTTATTCCTTAACATAAGAGAAAATATCAACAGGATTTGTGTCAAAACTGTGCCTATTTGTCGATTTCAACCATAGATTGACTGTGGATTCAAGACTTCAACAAAAGCACCCTGTGAGAATCAACTTGCTATATGTTACTCTTTGTGTTACATACCTTTTATATCAGTAAAATTTATAATGCACTTGTGCATATGTAAGATATACATACATATACATACATACACACTCATTTGTATATCCATAAACACACACACACATATATATATATATATACACACACACACACACACACATATATATATATATATATACACACATATATATGCTGGTTGTTAAATACTTACTAACACCACTCTCTGTTACCCACTCTTACATGGAAGGAAGCATGGGATAACTGAAAAGAGCCTAGACTTTGAAGCCAGATGTGTGAGTTCTATTCTCAGCTCCACTGTTCATTAAGTTCGGCAAGTCACCTCAGCATTCTGAGCTTGTTTGCTCTCTCTCTAATGTGCAGCCAATCATAAACATCACAGGGCTGTTTTAAGAATTAAACATTCGCAATGGCACACATGAGGTGCCCAGTGTGCTTACCAAGTGGTAAACATGTGAGTTATTTGTTCAACACACTATCTTGATATCTTTTATTCTCTTCACCTGTGTTTTTTTCCACTTGCCATCTTCCAATGTTCTACAATAAATGCTTGAATCACAGGTGAACCACAGTCCTACACTTTGACTTTTTGTGGAGATTTTTTGTTTGCTTTTAAGGAGGTTGGTGGTAGTGACTGATTTTTTTTTTGAAAGAGAGAGAACCCCCATCCACTGGTTTACTCAATCCAAGTCTCCCACATGTATGGCAGGAAGCCAATGACTTGGGCCATCATTGTGGAGCCTCCCAGGATCTGCATTAGCAGAATCTGGAGTCAGGAGCCTGAGGTAAGTATTGAACCCAGGCACTCCAGTATGAGATGTGGGCATCTTAACCACTAGGCCAAATGCCCACCTCTGGTTCTTTCATAGGTCTATGAGAATGTTGAACCTCCTGCTCTCTCTTCAACCTTGTCATTTGTTTATTTTATTCAAGATTTATCCACATTGGCATAGAAGATAGTGCTTCTCTTTGTCTCCCTGGCTTTCTTTCCTTGAGCTGTGGGACTCCTCTTAGAGAATTACAGAGAAATTCCAAAGGTCTAGAAGAGATGCTTCTCCCATGACTGATACAAGAAAGTTGGGTTGTTCCCCTGTTCCTCTGTAAAGTAGTTGTTGGCAGAGTAAAGAGGCTTCTGGGATATCAGCAAGTGTGTGCACTCTGATACTGGGTGACACCTGGCATTCTTCCAGAGCCCCTGGGAGCTGGCTTCATGAGTTAGAAAAAACATACAGAACGAAAAACCATCCACAACAGCCAACAGGCAGGGATTAAAAGCTGACAGTGCCGGCGCCGTGGCTCAATAGGCTAATCCTCCACCTTGCGGCGCCGGCACACCGGGTTCTAGTCCCGGTCGGGGCGCCGGATTCTGTCCCAGTTGCCCCTCTTCCAGGCCAGCTCTCTGCTATGGCCAGGGAGTGCAGTGGAGGATGGCCCAGGTGCTTGGGCCCTGCACCCCATGGGAGACCAGGAGAAGCACCTGGATCCTGGCTCCTGCCATCGGATCAGCGCGGTGCGCCGGCTGCAGCGGCGGCCATTGGAGGGTGAACCAACGGCAAGGGAAGACCTTTCTCTCTCTGTCTCTCTCACTGTCCACTCTGCCTGTCAAAAAAAAAAAAAAAAAGCTGACAGTGACTCTAAGACAAGCTGTCAAACAACTTGAGAAGGCTACTCAGTGCTAGAACTCAGGATAGCTGGAGGAGTTAACCTTTTCTTGATGTTTCCTGACTTTGATTGGTTTGAATCAGAAGCAATTTTATTTGTATCAATTTTTAAATGTGATTTCCTCAGGTATTACCTGTCCTTCAGGAAACTCATAAACCATACTTCCTTTTAGCTGGAGAAAGAAAATACTGGTCCAGGACTATTCTTTTGCATTTATTTAGGCAGCTCTTTATTGCTCTCCTATGGGCTATTCTCAGTAATGGGTTAAAAAGGTAGTTAGGCCATTAATTGAAATGGAGCAGTGCATCCAGGCAAGAGGAATCACAGACAGACTATTCCAGATTGTTGGTGAAGAATTATTTGCATTTTAAAGGTGTATTTTTCCACTCAGTAAATCAGAGTGATTTCAGATCGCTCACCCTTTGTGCATGGAGACCCATAGTCTTCCACAGCTGTTAATTTTAATTTTCAAATAATTTGATGTGTGTAAAGGTGTGTATCTACATAGCTCATCCCAGGAGCCACTGACAGTATAGGCATAGCAGTCTGTTCCTCTCTGCTGTCCCTCCTACTGCCACATCTCAGGACTCAGTGGGAGTCCTGCTGAGCGCTCACCTCCTTATGCTGTGGGAATGGTCTCCACAGGTTGCCTGAGGCTCCTGATGGCCCTGTGTGGGATGTCCTTTGCTCCTCTTCCCAGCTTAGTGTACGCATCATAAAGCACACGTGGAAATGTCTCATGCCTGTGAGTGTGGGTAGGGCAGGAAGCTCTAAACTGTCCATGGGATAGATTGAGCTGTTTCTATTCCTATACTTTACCATCCACTTGTGGGTGTAACCTGCTGAATATCCAGGAGCCTCACCCTGCCCCCACCCCCCGGGGTTTCAGAATGGTGGCCATTATGAAAACTGCACTTCCTAAACAGATGCCTGGGTCAGACTTCTTGCAAGGGGTTAGTGTTGTAGAAATAAAGGGGGAAACCCCACCTTCTATAGAGGTCTCTGAGAGCCTGCGGAAGTCTTCATGCTTCTTCTAAAGATACGTGACCCTTCATATAACCCACCCTTTCCCCAGCTCGAGAGCTCCCACACTGACCCACCCAGCCTCTTTTTCTAGTTCCTGTCGGGAGTGGATGCCTGGTGCAAGATGTGCAGTGAAGGTGGCCTGCCGTCCGAGATGCAGGACCTGGAGCTGGCGATCCACCACCACCAGTCCCTGTATGAACAAGTGACCCAGGCCTACACAGAGGTGAGAACTGAGCAGGGCAGCCAGGGGTCTTGGGCATGGCTGCATAAGGGAAAGTGGCGAGAGTTCACTGTACACTGTGAAATATGAAATAGCCTGGGTTGGACTGGGAAGAAGAAAACTGACTGTTTTCCCCTTTTTATGGCATTTTTAGGAACTTTGATCTGAATTTGTCTCCAGCTAGGAAGAAGAAAAAATTGGGGCCGTTAGCAGCATCACCTTCTTGCACACATATGTTGTGTGTGTATCTCTGTCTTCCTCTCTCTCTCTCTCTCTCACACACACACACACACACACACATACCCCTACACACTGGTCTCACTGTGTGTGTGAGGATCGCACTTTCTACTCAGGGGAGAGGAGTATAGTGAAGAAAGGCTGTGCCCCTCTGCAGTTTGTTTCTCTGGCTTGATGAGTGGATGTGTACATATTAGTCCTGCCATCCCATTTATGAAGCAGCTAATCAGAAAGTCAAGGTTTCTTGCTAGAAGATTCAGAGGAAGACACACAGGGCATAGATAAGTGTGCAGGAGTGACAAGCTGCCATGGCTGTGAAGGACAAACTAAAAGGCTCTTCCACAGAGAAATCAAGCCCAGTGTCGGGGGACATACTGCAGCACTGCTTAGTTAAGGAGGATTGAAGCTTCCTGACACTGCTCGAGGGGCATCTGTGTAGACATGCACGTGTGAGCAGGTTGGCCAATTGGCATGAGTTCTGAGGGAGTGGGGCTGAGATGGGAAGAGATGGCTGATGAAGGAAGCTGGGTGAAGAAGGGAAAGTGTATGCACAGCCAGCCCATGTACGTCCTCTGGAATAAGGTTAGTTAGAGAAGCATTTGTCCAGGTGAGTTTCTGGACTGCCCGAATGGACCATCAGGGTGGTCCAAGGGGATGAAAACACAGTTGAAGATACAGATTCCTGAGTTCTACCCCTACTGATCTAAATGTCGAGAAGGAAGCCTAAAACCTCCATTTTAATACCTATTGTTCCATGTGAGTCTGTTGCATGTTGAAATCTAAGAACAAATAAGCTTGTTTGTAAAAAGTAAAGGTTTTTGCCATAGTAAAAACCAAATTTGAGGGTCTAGTGTTGTGGCATAGCAGCTAAAGCTGCCACCTACAATGCCAGCATCCCATGTAGGCACCGGTTCATGTATCAATTGTTCCACTTCCAATCCAGCTCCCTGCTAATGGCCTAGGAAAGCAGTGAAAGATGGCCCAAATGTTTTGGCCCCTGTATCCATGTGGGAGACTCAGATGAAGCTCCTGGCTTTGGCCTGGCACAGCCCTGGCCTTTGCAGACATCTGGGGAGTGGCAGTATAATTATACATCTTGCAGTATAATTATACACATAGGCATAGTATTTCCCCCAGTTTATCCTCGAGCCCTAGCATCGTGGGACTTAGATCTTTCCTCTCGGCTCACTGCAGAGGACAGGGGCTGTCCCTACCTCCTACAAATGTAGAGACAAAGGCAGAGGCTGGAAACTCAAGTCGACTAGGATTTCTGGGACTGGGTGCTTCATCTCTAACTGCCCTACCCTGAACACAGCATGATGCAAAAGTCAGCATTTGCTCATCTCTCAATAAATTATGGGAGATGGGGATAGCAGGATCGAGTTGGGGGTGGTGGTGGTTTCCTTTCCAACCTCAGCCATACTCTACCTCAGCACTCCTCTTTATCGTGCCCCAGGCTGAGAGCCTTTCTGCAGGGCTCCCACCCCCCAGCAGGACTATCTGCTGCCTCTCTATTCCCAGACCCCCAGCTGAGCCACTGTCAGGGCCTGAGGGAAGGGTTGGGGCTTCAAGCCCACAAAGGGTGCCTCCCTCATCCTGGTGGGGATGGAGGTGGAAGCACAGCTGCTTCCCTGCCTTGCTGGCTGGAAAATGAGATGTTTCAACTCAAGCCAACTTTGATTTCATTGTGAACCAAGTTAATGTAGGGTCCTAAAATTTCTTTCGATTCCCTGATCACCACTGTTTTAGGTTGGGAAGGTGCATGCCCTATTGGGTTCTCTGCCAAGCACTACAGAGCCACAGGTGTCAGTCCTACCATGCCACTTTCTAGAATTGTTGGTGCCTTTGTGCCAGGTTTCCAGAGAGAGGAATGATAGGATATCAGCCCCACCCCAGCCCCAGTCTCAGCACTGAGTGTTGGGGAGCCTGGGAGCATGGGTGGCATAGGCAGAATCTGAGGATCCCTGCCTTACTCTGCTTGTTCCTGATCTTCATGAGAAAGAAGGGGATTGTATTAAGGAAGAGCAGAATGTTAAAAAAAAATAAAAGAGCATACAGGAGAATAAAGAAGATGGAAGGCAGGAATGATGGTGGAGGAAGGGAAGGTAGTAGGCAGAAGAAAATCCCAGCAGCCACTACTATGTGCTAGGTCCTATTCTACGTGCGCTCCAAGGGTTAGCTCATATCATACCCACCATGACTCTGAGGGACGTACCACTAATCTCTTCCTTTTATAGACAAAGGATTGATGCTCAGAGAGATTACGTAACTTGCCTTTGATCATATAGCTGAAGGTTTGGGGCCAGGTAGAGAAAGTTGAGGAAGAAAGAGTGGTAAAGGCTGATGGTATAGGTGGCTTCCTTTCTGAAATGAAGTTCTGCTGACTGATCTAGTCCATGAGTAAGTAAAAATATTCAGCAGGTGCCTACTGCTTGCCAGATGCTGTGGAGAATTAGCTATATCCTCTGTGGAGAGAGCTATGAGCAAGGCAGAGTCCCTAGTCCTTATGAAGCTAAAATTCAAGAGGAGAGAGAGAATGTCCAGCCATTCTTCTCCCCCAGGTTTCCAGGATGCTCAGCCCTCCCCAAGGCTGCATGCAGGACACTGGGGCACTCTGGCCAGCACATTTCTTGGTTGTGACCGGCCTTGGGAGGATTGAGATACTCAGGCCTAACCACAGACCCAGGGCATACTCTCCTAGCCTCTCTCTGAGCCCTACATGCCTCTCCCCCCTTTGACCAAGGTTCTTTCCTTCCTGCAGGTTAGCCAGGATGGCAAGGCACTGCTGGATGTGCTACAGCGTCCCCTGAGTCCTGGCAACTCTGAGTCCCTCACAGCCACAGCCAACTACTCCAAGGCAGTGCACCAGGTCCTGGATGTGGTCCATGAGGTGCTGCACCACCAGCGGCGGCTTGAGAGCATCTGGCAGCACCGCAAGGTGCGGCTCCACCAGCGGCTGCAGCTCTGCGTCTTCCAGCAGGATGTCCAGCAGGTAAACTGCTCTGCTTCCCTATTCCTTCCCATGAGGCAGGCTGAGCTCGAGGCCCTGACCTGGGCAATGAGACCTTGGAAAGCCTAGGTTTATACAAGGAAGATGGCATTTCAGTCCCCAGCAACTCCCCCATGCTGCAAAAACCTGGACTTGTTATTTGCACCCTACTTGCTTAAGCAGCTTGATTGACAGGACCTTCATAGTATGTGGAGCTGGGAAGGGAGATTCCATCTCAGGAACAGCAGTGACCAGTAGTCATGCAATGCATTTTTCTTTTCCTGAGCTTGACCTTTGGCAGTGAGATTGTTAGGCAATTCAGGGGGTTGGGGGAGTGATCTGAGCACCACAGTTGGGCCCCACAGAAAGTGGGATCACTTTTCAATAAGGGATAAGGTGGCCTGCCAGAGAGCTGTGGGTTGGAAACAGGATTCCTTGGCAAGGTAAGACCTGTGAAGCCAGATTAAAAACATGGGCTATTTATTGTTTACTGTGTGTTCCATGATGAGATGTGATTTCTGGATTCGTCTGACTTTTTGCATGTCAGTCATGGCTTTTTCCTCTACCACAAATAATAAAGAAATGGTTATGTTTCTGACCATAAAAGACAGCCTCACCACATGTGCCCTTGCACATGAAGTAGCCCTGTCTCCCCTTGTACTTTCCCTGTTTCTGTCTTCCTGGGTTCTGCTGGGAAACTTGGCTGGGAGGATGGATAGATTGGTGGGGGTGAGAGTGGCTGGCTGGCTGGGAGCTAGGGTCTGAAATCAAGGCGGAGGTTACCTCCTTCTGAGTTCACTGTGGGAGGCAGGGGTGGGGTGCTTGTGCTCAAATACCAGTTTTCAAGCATTTCTGTGGCCACTGTAATTTCAGCATTACACATAAAGAAACAGTTTACTCTACTTCTGTTCTTCTGCACAGTTGAACAGGTATAATCCCAGAGTGTGGTAAAATGTGCATGGAAGATTGAGAATTAGCTATCCATGTCTCTCTGGGCACACCCTTCCTACCTGTTATTGATAGGACCCCTAGTGCTTGTTGCCTGAGGTGGAGAGACCAGACGAAGGGGTCATCCTTATCACTGACTTTGACATGTAAGGGTCTCTCACTGTGCAGTTAATCCCAAGAGCACAGGGGCCTTCAGGCAATGCCCCCTTCTTGAGCTGCTCTAATTCCCTTGCAGTGCCTTCTCCCAGCTGGCTATCAGTTGAATCCTAGAGGAACAGACACCCCTGCCCCAGGACAGATGGGGACTATTGATGTGCCAGCCCAGCTCGGGGCCTGCCAGGATGGAAAAGCAAATGAATCAGTTGGTTGCCTGCTCCTGCCATCTGGAGCCATCCACATCCTTATATTGTACCCTAACTCAGGAAAACTGGGAGGCAGCCTATGAATGACATACACAGAGTACCACACTCCAAAGCACAAAAGAGTGGACATGGCTGTTTCAGTGAACTCACAGAGATCATGGGAGATGATGAGGGTTGCAGCTTGCACAGCCCCTTGGTATCCTCCTCACTGTCCCACTGTTTTACTTTATAGCTATGCAGCTAGGGTAGACTCTGGAGAGCTGCCAAAGGGCTGCAAGGAGGGTGGCTGGCCAGACTCGACTATTGGGGGGCTGCTGTGGTCACACTTTTCTGTAGTCCCCATGATATTAAAACTAAAATGAACAAAAAGTATACTAAAATGGTGCCTCTGTCTATTCTGCATCCTACTCTTGAAAATGAGAGTCCTTCTGAAATTTAAGACTCTATCCGTTCGCCATGTTGTTTGCATTGTGTAAAAGCACATGGAAGATTATGAGATGGATGTGGTGGGGGCTTGGGTTTTCCTGGAGAACTGGATTCTCAGGAGGGTTAGCTCCATTGTTCTTTTCAGGATATGTGACAGGAGGACCACTGTCTCAATCACTCACTCACTTGCTGGAACAGATGCAAGGAAATCTGTGGAAAAATTAGGAATCTTAAACTCAATGAGGGTCTCAACTGTTTACCTGAGGCCAAGACAACCTATTTAGTTCTGGTGCTTCAGAACACTTGAGGGCTAGAGTAGAGGAAGGACTTGATCTCTGATCTTCTGACTCCCAGCCATACTTGAGTCTGTCCTAGTTTTCAGGATCACACTGGACAAGTAATTTCATGCTCCCACAGTTATATATAAGTGTGTGTATATATAACTTCAATAACATTTTCACCTTTGCATTACATTAAATTTTAAAATTTTGCATGTCTCATCTATTCCAGTAGATGAGAGCAGAAACCATCATTTTCTCTTCTGAATCTTACAGCTCTGTGTCTGGCACGAAACTGGGGTTTTCTTTATATTTGCTGAATTGTGTTGAAATTAGCTGACTCCCAGTTTCTGCTTCTGTGAAGTGCATCTCATGCCATCCTGCTTCCCAACCCATCCAGCAGTTACTTTGCTAGGAAGTAGCTGGAGTCTTCCCATGGGGATTGTGATGTGAGTCTTGAGACTCTGGGTGTTTACAGCCCAGGCCGTGGATGAAAGAACATAACCTCAGAGCTCATGAAGTATCATGGTGCTCGTCAGTTACTCAACAAAGTTGGGCCTCAACCATGGGTACAGCACTGTACTAGATACTGGCAAGATGCCTGCTGGTTAGAACAACACAAGATGTGCACATTGAAAATATACTACCAGAAAACGGAAGACTACCAGAACATGACAGCCTCTGTGCAAGGCAATAGAGTATTGATGGAGTTGTTATAGCAGTTGCTGTCCTGGTGAAGGAGAAAATTGATTGAACCATGTAGTCTGTGTCTAAGACCCCAGATGCACATTTGGGACCCAGTAGCACACATGGGGAGCTTATGAGGGCGCATCGATGGCCAGGATAGTACACATCCCTGGATACAAGCATGGGCTTGGTGTCAGATGGTCTGAGTGTAAATCCTGCTCTGGCATGTCTTGTCGATGTGGCCTTGTGAATCTTCACCTCCTGCTGCTCATCTCTTTTCCTCTAAAACAGGAAGGATAATAATAGGAATTGTCTCATCAGACTGCATGAAATACCAGGACAGTGCTTTGCACCCTGCTGCCTTGTACAGGGTAGAGCCTCAGTCAATATTGGGTTGACAGTCACAACCTCTTTGAGTGGTCCTCGGGCGCCCTCTGGTGCTTGGTGCATTTAGGAGCTCCCAGTCTGATTCTTTATGGCAGCAACTGCTCCTGGGTCAGCTGATTCCACTTCATTCAGTGATAGAATCTCAGAGCTGTCAAAGACCTGGAAAACGCGTCCAATTCAAGGTTAGAGATATAAAGTAGCTTTGCCATGAGTATACTGCTGGTTAATGGTAGTGGTAGAACCAGAAGCTAGCTCTTCTCACTTCCAAGTGTCCTATGGAAAGGCCATTGTGAGAGAGGAGCCAGGGAGACAGAGAGAGAGAGAAGACAAATAGACACTCTCTGCCTCAAACAAGAAGGGGCAGGGAAAGCCAAGTGAGAAAGAGACAGAAACCGGTGCTGCAAATGGAGAGCAAGCCAGCCTTTGCCTGGCTGACTTCTTACCCCTTTGCCATTTCTGGGGTGGCATTTTCCCAAGTCTAAGTCCTTTGCCCTTTAAGGGTCCAAAACACAGTAAAGCAGAAAGATGTAAACCAAATATGGGTGCCAGCGACAGGTTGCATTTGCACCCCTGCAGCTAGAGCTGGCTTGGCATGTCATCTCTGTGGTTCCCTTGGGTCCCAAGAGGGTAACTCAGCTCCCCCCTCCTCCACCGAGCTAGGGGACAGTAGGAAAAAGCCTTAAGGATAAAACTAGATATAGATTCATTGATCTGAAGAAAGGAGTGGATAGGACATACCTGTCATACTACTGCTAATGAGTAATTTTCAGCACTATTATTTTTGCAGTTTAATATAGGATAGTACTGAGGAAAAGCCCAAAAAAAGCACTCCTTATCAGCATCAGCCAATCTCAACTTAATTTTCCCCCAACTCCTCTGATTTCCCACATATGTAAAAAAGTTAATTCCAGGTCCAGATAGACTTGACTTGTGGTCAGAGCAAGATTCTTGTCCTTTCTGGGAAATGCATCTTCCATTCTATTTTATTGTAACCAGAGTGACTGTTTTCAGGAAGCCCCATGCAGGCCATCTTGTTCTTGCCTTCTCTTGCCCTCACATGTTTGCCAGAATAAACCATTAAAGTGTTTTGGAGCACCTACTGTATACAAACAGCTGTGCGAGGAGTTTGAGGTCTCTGCCCTTGATAGGAGGCATATATACTAAGGCTATTTTAATGGCATCCAGTTGTCTGGGTTCAGAGTCAAGAAAGCAAAATAGCAATGAGCTAGTGGAATCAACATAAAGCATCCCCTCTGGTGGGTATGGGATTTGTGCTGGTCCTAGAAGCACAGGCAGAGGATGGGGTGGTGGTATTCTGATGGGAAGTCAAAGAGCAGAGAGCTAAGTTGTACGTGGGGCACAGGAAAGAGGAAGTTGAAATAGACACTCATGAATGGCAGAGGTAGTGGGAGTGAGGCTGGAGGGGCTGGGTGAGCTCTATTAGGTTGAGTGGTGGTAGTGGAGGTGAGGCTGGAGAGGCTGCATGGGCTCTAGTAGGGGTGAGTGGTGGTGGAAGTGAGGCTGGAGGGGCTTGGTGTGCCTCAGCAGGGGTGAGTGGTGGTGGTGGGAGGTGAGGCTGGAGGAACTGGTGTGCTGTAGTAGTCATGAGTGGAACAGTGACACATTTGAGGCTTCTGTATCTTCCCTTGAAAACTATGTCTTGTTTTTAAGCCATCCAGTCAGGGAAAATCACAAGTGCCATGATGGCAGAATTTCTCTGGCTTGGTGAGTTTCCATTATGAATTAATGACAATTAATGTTAATTTAAAATGAATCTCATCTGCTTCCATCAGTTTTTCTGGAGCCTTGTGAGGAAAATTATAGCTTTTACCATGTCAGCTGTTGCTTGCCAAAGAATGTCTGAAAGAGATTTGGGAATAATTTTTTTTTTAACTCCAGGTAATCAATCTTTTAC